CTGTAAGTAACTGAGAAATAAAATTTTATAATATAGCTCTTTATTTGATTTTTCTACTGCAAATTCATTACTTTGCTCAAACATTTAATCTTATTTTTGTCATTCTTGCTACTATTTGAAATTCTACTGAAATAAGTTTCTTAATACAAATGTTCACCACTTTCTATTTATAGCCAAGACTTATACATGTTGAAAAAAAGATGTTTGTATTCCTCCATTCAAAGACTATATATTATGTGCCCCTTATGTGCCCAGTAGTAGTCTTAGGTTGGGGAAAGAAAAGTGAACAAAATAGACAAAATATATGGTTTCATTTACCCCCTTTTATGGTGTGGGGAGACAGACAATAAACATAATAAATAAATTATATGTTTGCATTAAAAGTTGATGAGTTGGGTGCCTGGGTGGCTCAGTTGGTTAAGCATCTGCCTTTGGCTCAGGTCATGATCCCAGGGTCCTGGAATTGAGTCCTGTGTCAAGCTCCCTGCTCAAGTGGGGAGTCTGCTTCTCCCTCTCCCTCTGCCCCACCCCCCTCCTCGTGTGCTCTCTCTCTCTCTCTCAAATAAATAAATAAAATCTTTAAAAAAAAGGTGATGAGTCATATAGAGAAAAACATGTATCAAGATATATGGAAACATATAGTTTATTGCAGAAATGCTTTTTATGACAGAGGCCAAACTGTAGTAATTGTAAAGCTTATAGAATTCTTTTTTTTTTTTTTTAATATTTATTTAGAGAGAGAGAGTGCAGGGAGGAGGGGCAGCGGGTGAGGGAGAGAGAGTCCCAGGAAGACTCCATGCTGAGCATGGAGTCCGACGCAGGGCTCGATCTTAAAACCCTGAGATCAGGGCCTGAGCTGAAACCAAGAGTCAGATGCTGAACTGATTGCACCACCCAGGCGCCCCCTAATGCTTATAGAATTTTTAATGGAAAATCAGAGTTACAATATATTATTATTCAATTTTATTAATAATTGATATCATTTATTGATGGAACACTTTGTTGGACACTTTCATATAGCAAACTAATTTAATTCCCCATACAACTTCATGAGGTAGAATTTGTTACTTCAGCTATACATATGAGAAAACTCTGATGTAGAGAGATAAAACAACTCTCCCCTGTGGATGAAGCAAGAAAGTGGCAGAGTCAGAATTCAAATCCAGATTTTGGATCCCTGGTCTTCCTCTGTTCTTCGTCCACATTGCTGCATCTAACACTTCAGGTTGTTTATTACAACATTCTGTCTTTTGCTTTATCTAATGTGGTATAAAAGTTTCAGATTTTGAAGTCTTTCCAATAAAAATAGTAAGTGTTCAGATTTTTAAGATTTATTTATTTGAGAGAGAGAGTGTGAGAGTGCAAATGCGGGGTGGAGGGGAGAGGGGGAGGGACAACAAGAGAATCTTAAACAGACTCCCGGCTGTGCATGGAGCCCCGATGCGGGGCTCCATCTCATGACCCAGAGATCACAACCCTGAAATCATGACCTGAGCTGAAATCAAGAGTCGAATGCTTAACTGACTGTGCCACCCAGGCTCCCCAAAAGTGTTCAGTTTTAAAATAACTTTCATAGGGGCACCTGGGTGGTAAAGTCAGTTAAGTGTCCTACTCTTTATTTCTGCTCAGGTTGTGATCTCAGGGTCATGATCTCCAGGTCGAGAGATCGAGCCCCATGTTGGGCTCTATGACGAGCATGGAGTCTGCTTAAGACTCTTTCTCCCTCTCGCTCTGCCCCTTCCCCCTCTCAAATAAATCAATAAATCTTTTTAAAAATTAACATAACTTTCATATAGTCTGCAAAGTGATTTCTGAGGGACAATTTTTCAGCTCTTTCTAGAAGAAGGGAGAGAGAGAAGTGACTTGGGAGTTCAGAATGTTAACATCCAGTAACATTCATTCATTCCTAAGGGCTTCTCTTCAGGGCTGTGAGTCTCAAGTTAAGTTGTTGTAGTGATGGCCAGGTTAAATTCTCCCACTAAAAATATATCTTTAGAATTGTAGGAGTAATCAAGAGCTCTCATTTCCCAAAGTGCTGCTTCTAGCATTTGATAATCCCACATTTATTGGTGCGGTTGACATAATTATTCACGTAGATTTTATTTCACATATGCAGTGTGTGCACCTGTTGTTGGACCAGTTAAAAGTGTTCTTTCCCCTTGGTCTTGGGCCATTTTGCTGATACAGTGTGTTATAAATATGACAAGGACAGGAGCAGTTTGTATTACAGGATAATACAACATAATTTGACCGACAAGCTCACTTCCCATTATTCCTGTAGTCTGAGATGCAAGTTAAAACGTCAGTCTATGTTGTAAAGGTCATTAGAAAATATGGCCAGTAATTTTACTTTATTTACAGTATGCTCTATGTAAGACACTCTGGTAAGAGCTACTGGCCGGTGGGGGGTGGGGGGAGGGTTGGGTGGAGGAGGGATGTGTCTTTCAAAATAATAATAACGTAAAGTTTGAAAATACACTGTCCTCATGTGAAATCACTGCTCTACTTGAGCCAGCTGTAATAGAGAGGAGCATCCTGTGATTACGAAAGAAAAGAATGTGAGAAGGGAATTCTGGCACTGTGCATTTCGCCTGAGTGACACTGATATATTTGGAAGCATCTGTCTTCCCTTGCACCTAGATGCATGTTTGTTTATTTTGGCCTCCTGTGGGCTGCTAGTCCCTCTAAGTCCTGTGTACAGAGGCTCAACCTGTTTTTTACTTCAAAGGCTCTTTCTTATAAGTTTACTGTGACAAACAATGATATTGGCTGGGAAATCATGTCCCAGTCTGCAGTCAAATTTTTGAGTTTAAAAAGTTTCCTTAACAATCAATCAATCAATCATTTCATTATCAATAAAACACAGTATCCTTTAACAAGGGAAAATATGTAATTAATCATGTTTGCCCAAAGTGCCACACAGGGGAGGTGTGATTAGCTAGTGTTCTATTCCTTTCTATTAAATCCATCACACACATATTAAATGCCTATGTTACCATGTGCCAGGCAGAGCTTAGACTCAGAAAGAGTTTTCTGACTCTTTGCTCTTTATATTATTATTTTAAAAACCCATATATAGGGGCGCCTGGGTGGCTCAGTCAGTTAGGCATCTGCCTTCGGCTCAGGTCATGATCTTAGGGTCCTGGGATTGAGCCCCACGTCAGGCTTTCTGCTCTGCAGGGAGTCTGCTTCTCCCTCTCACTCTCCCTCTGTGTTTTCCCTCTCTCTCTCTCAAATAAATAAAATCTTAAAAAAAAAAAAAACCCACATATGTAGTATTTCCCATATACCAGGCACAGTTCTAAGCCATTCACAGATAGTAACTCTTTAGTCCTCACTGCACCCATAGGAGGAAGGTATTGTCCAAGGTCACACAAAGAGTGCTGGTGGAACCAGAGGATTCAAAGCCAGCAGTCTCTCCAGAGTTTGTGTTCTCCTGCACGGCACTCTGCTTTGTCTATTCATTTACAGATGGCAATAATTTGTATGCAATGAAAACTAGGATATGGTTCCTGACCTCAGAGGGTTTATAATCGAAATCTGTTTCTTCTTTCTTTCCACCCATATCTTCAAAGATCTTGATAGAGCACTGTGGCTCATTAATTTTGTAGATATCTTCATTTATTAAACATGTACTATGTGTACATGTGTACTGCCTGTTAAGGAGCTCACATCAGGGAGAGATGCACACTTCCTTTCATAAGTGCTAATGGAAGGGTGTATTTCAATGAAAACTTTCCAAAAGAGGTGATGTTTGATTTGGAGCTAGTCAGATGGACGAACGGAGAGAGAGAAGAAGGAATTTTAGGTAGAAGGCACAGGGGGATGTGTATGAAAGAACAGGGTGGGATCAGGAATGGGAATAATTAAGATTGTGGTATGACCAGAGAAGAAAGACAGGGTTTAAGTTTGAATGGCCTTGTGTTCTTTGATGAAGATTTGGAATAGATTCTATCAGTAATGGGAAGTAATGAAGAAATTTAAGTAGTGAAAAGACATGGTCCATATATTTTAGATCTATAAAGTGGACAGTTTGATTCAGAGGTACCCCTGTAAATTATTTGGATTCCCGGTTTCGTTTTTTTATCTCTTTTCCCTCATCATCCTCCCCCAACTCCTTTGTCTCCTCTCTTTGGCCTCCCAGTTTTTGCTCTAACCCCCATCCTTTCTCATCACTCTTGGTAACAAAAAAATGTCTACTTTATTAAGGTTTAATCTCAAGTTTTCAGGAAAATACCCAATGTCGGCTATTATACCGTATAATGAACTCAAATATCAGCATTCTTTCTACTTGTCAATTGGAAAATTCCTTTTGTTAGTGGAATTTCAAACATCGGTGTGAGAAAGAATTTATTTGGAGGAGCAATAAACTATGGAAGGAAGAACCTGGAATTATGATACTCTTCTTCGCGGACAGGGAGCCACCCTGCCATACTGAGGTGTATTCCAATTTTGCTGCATCATGATTGAGCAGCATTATGTATCTCCAAAGAGCTTAGAGCTTGCTTCTCAGCTCTCCCCATTCCTGAGCATGTCCTGCTAGCACAAAATCCATCCTTTCTGAGTCGGTTTCCTCTCCTGTGTTTACCTAAAAAGCACTGTTAGAAGATAATGCATCTGCAAATATTTTATACAAGCACAATGCAGATGAAAGGCATTGGTATTAATTTATATTTTCAGCTAGAGTTGAGCTCTGTATTTCTATGTGATAGTATTCCTCTAGGACCTCTATATTTTAATGGCCTAAAATTTTCATCTCTGTAATAGTGAGAAAAATTCAGTTCACCTTCAGTTCTTACATATGAGGTCGCCTTTGTCCTTGCCAGCCTTTCAGAGAGTCTGTCTTTCATTTCCAGAGAAAAACTGACAGGATAACTTTTGGAATGGCCCTTGATTTGCATTAATGATGTCCTTCAAGGACAGTGTACTACTTCCTCCTCTTGAATTTTTATGTCTCCTTTCTTTCTTGTTTTTGTTTTGTTTTGTTTTGTTTTTTTTAGATGGAGAAATCAATAGAGACACACTTTGGCAGCCATGACAGAAGGGCCATACTCTACAGGCCTCCTTCCTTCAGCAAAACAGAGCTTCAGCTCCACCAGCACATTCTCACTCAGCATCGCTATATGGTTGTCATCGCTGAAGAAAGGCTCGGTGCTGGCCTTGGGCTGGGGCTGCTAGAAAAAGGTCAGAATAAGAAGTAAATACCCAAGTTGCTTGATATGTAATGTGAAACACTTTCTAGAGTGTGCTACATTCTTTCCCTAAAGAAATTTATAAAAACAAATTTTTGCCCATGATCAACTTTCTTGCATCAAAGAAAACTTGGCTCCTTTTTTTTTTTTTTCTTTTTGGCTTCCTCTCAATTTTTCTTTAGCTATATTTCTTTATTCCTGAAATTATTTTGTTTATATTTTTGTAGCATTTTGGAGTTGCATAGTTCATATTTAAATGCTACATAAAAAATGTTTATGTTTATGAGCCTGAATACATGTTCTGCCCAGCACCAAACTGCTCCATATTTTAAGAAAATTGCCACTTCATCTGACTGCAAGTGGAATGTGCTGGAAATTGTTTCGAGAAGCCAGCTTAAATGTGATTCACAGATTGGCTCTAAAATGCGAAAGAAGTATGGATATTTATCACACAAACTATTACTAGTCAAGTACTTTTATTTCTGTCATTTGAAGTGAGAAATAAAAGACAAGTTTTTAAACAAGGTATTTGAAAAGAAAGTTGAGGAGATGATGAGGGTCAGAAAGGGCAGTAGCAGTAAGAGCTAACGTTTCCCGAGCAGATACACTCCACCTTGCTCTTTCAAGAGCTAGCTGATGCCACTGAATGAATGAGGTGAGGGGAACAGTTAGCCACCATTCCCCTTCACCATGTTCACCTTTCGCTGCACTGGCTGTGAAGGTGCAAGCTGCTAAGCCAGCAAAGCTGTTGGAGGATAGGGCCCAAAAAGATACACTTCAATGAAAACAAAGGTTCTAAAAACCTGCCGAGTATGGGCCATGAGGACTGGTCTTCAGGAACACCATTTGCTGGGCCCTGTCCCCTAGGAGTCCTATGGTAATCTAGAGCACTGGGCTTCTGGAAGCAAATGAGAAAAACCAAAGGGCAGGTGAAAGCTCTGGAATATCAAAGAGGGCTGAAAATGAATTTTAGAAACTGCATTGTGCTTGGCTCTATTAAGAAGGACCAATTGAGAGTTCTGGAGCATCCATAAATGGTATTGTCAGAAAAACCATTTATCCGTGTTAAGGAAAGATATAAAATGTTGAGTCTCCCTCTCATCCCATAAAGCATCTTAGCCCATCCCTGCAGTAGGTGATTTTGTACCCACCACCTGCATGCCGGGAGCTGTGCACCTGCAGGCGTGCACAGCTCCGGCCGTGATGACACACCGCTGGGTCCGAAACTGCTGTGTTCTTCTGCCTCCCTGAAGCTGCTCCTGACCGTGCAGGGGCACAAGGTGGGTTCTCCGTGCATTTCAACTTCAGTTCAGTTCCAGTCTTCAATTCTGTCCAGTTGCAATTCAGAAGGAATACGTCTGCTCTCTCCCTTAATGTCCTTGGGTCAGTTTTACGCGGAGGATGACTTTGCATCTTCCAAATATCAAGAAGAGTGCAAAGACAGCCCGAAGGCAATAAACTCTGGCAGCCAAAGCAGCTGCTGGGCCCAGCATAAGATAACGAGATGGGTGTCACCAGACTTTGTCAGTGTAAATGCTGATTTGGCTCACTTACCCCATATTCCCTCAACTTGTAAAACATCCACTTCCTCATTCTTTCTTGGTTTCTTCGACTCCATCTAATAAGATATTATTCCTGGATAAGGCCTCAAGAAGGGTAGCAATTTCATGAGTATGCAAAATTGACTTTTGGTTTTTCATCCAATTTTATAGTTTTCACTGTGAGGGCAACCTCAAATACCTGAAATAAAAAAGTTCTGTGACCATAATCTAACATTTCCTTGATTTTCTAACATGTAGGAAAAAAATCACTTTTTTATTGCAGTTTATTTTCCATGGCCACAGATTTAATCTCTAAATTGTGTTTGCATTGAGGCACTCACTATAAAAATATTTTCTAAAGATTTGATTCTTGTCCAATTCGTTTTCCTTTTGTTTCCCATATTCACCTCATGCTTACTTTACCATATGTACGGCAGCAGAAAGTATGATGCTATATTTGCGCATTTAAACTTAATTTCTCCATGGTGAGCATCTTGGGGGAAATGGAAGCAATTCAGAATGATCGGGAGACCTACCCCTCCTGTCTTTAACTTTGCTGTTGCAGCTTCTGCTCTCTGCTAAACTGAAATTTGAAGCTACTACATTAAAAAAAAAAAAAGAAAATAGGTACTAACACAAATGTTACTAAGTGCCCAGGAGCAGATTTGAGACATTTATAAAATACAGGCTTGGTTGGAGGAAAATAAATACAAAATAATATTTTCCTATTCTACCTATCCATTTTACCTGCTTTTCTCTCCTCTTCTGATCTGACCCCAATCAGTTCTGCTGACCTCTTTCTATGCCATCGTTTGAAGCAGTGGCGGCCTCTTTCCAGCCTGGAGCTACTTTTTTTTTTTTCTTTTTTAAACTTTTAAGGCCAGAAATGGATAAAAATCGAAAAAATAAAAGGGTCATAGCCAGGCAACATTCCACTATTATTAAGGATAATCTGTTTTTGTAGAATAACATTTGGGCTTTATATTTTATTAAGCTTTCCTACTACTTATTTAGTAAACATTCCTTGAAAGGAAAAGTAAACAGTCTCGGGTTCTAAGTTAGAATGTGGGCATTATGGATTTTTTCCCTGGTTAATTCCATTCTAGTGATATAACAGAAGTCTGTGACTCTATCCCGAAAGACAGTAGGGCTGCGGGTATGCAACTTCAGGCAAGTTAGGTTCTTTGAGCTCTGGTTCTCTTATCTGTTGAAGGCAATAATGATATTGCTTCATGACAGTATGTGGTGAGAATTTAGTCACTTTGTCCACCCCATCAGAGTTCTGGGAGGAGACGACGTAAAGCCCAGCCACTATTTTTTGATTCGATAGTCTGGGAGTGAGGCCCAGAAGTTTATATGTTAAAAACAGACACATATGATTCTGATATATATCCCACTGGGGCACACTATCCTAAGGGATATACTGCTGGTTCAAGACATAGCAATCTCTAGACTTAATTCTGGGAATAAAACAATGCAAAAGTCTGCTTGCTATAATGCCATTGTACTACTTAAGTATTAACCGTATAGGTATTTACAAGCATTTAATCTTTAGGCTGATTTTGAAAACAGTAAGAGGACAATTGTCTTTACAGATGTAAGCCTATAAAACTTAGCGGCACGTAAGACATATACTTTATCGTCCTTCAGTCTCCTGCTTTGGAAAAATATATCTTATGTCCCTGCATTTGTAAGAACATATAATTCTCTAAAGGAAAAGAGAGAAGCACCCACCAATCATTGCCCTTCACTACTTAGTAATCAGTGCTTTAGTCCATGGAATAGTATAGTAGCCTAAAAGAAAGCAGATGTTTTCCAAAAGATCTTAACCTATTCCCATGGTAACATCCAAGTAGTATGTCATCCATGAGACCCTGTCTCAGTAGGTTGTATCATTGGATCAGAGTTATTTCTGTATACTTGAAGAGTAGTGCATATTTATCAGTTTTCTCTTCACTTCTGAATACACCTTGCACTTCTAAATTAAATGTATTATATAGTCCCTGTGAAAAACAAATGCCAACTTGCTACAGAATTGGTCATTCTTATGGTTTCAAATTGCTCTTGTTTTTGTAACGTGGGGGTTTTACATGGAATGTTTTTTTAAAGAAACACAAAAAGTGGAAGACCATATCGATTTTCTCGCCACGGTTTGGCAAACGATGGTCCGCTGGCCAAATGTGGCCTGTTTTTGTCAACAAAGTTTTATTGGAATGTAGCCACACATTTGTTTCCATACTGTCTTTGGCTGCTTTGTTTTGCCATAGCTGAATTGAGTAGTTGTAACAGAAATGGTATGGCTCTTACGGACTAAACATTTATTGGTCCCTTAACAGAAAAAGTTTGCTGACCCATGTCGCTAGATTAATACTGTGTCATCTGATCCCATCCCAAGCTGATGGTTAAACTCTAGGACTGAGATTGTTTAGTTTTGTAACTTATACCAAACCTCATTCAAAAAGGATTTGATGGTTTACAATAAAACATATAATAATAACATTACTAAAATGGAAATAGAAAGTTAGGGCTCAGTCAGGATGTTCCTCTTAGTTACCATAATTGAAGCTTAATTTTGGCTTGAGCCTGCAAATACCGAGAGCAACAAGGAAAAGAATGGAAATTTTACTCTCAGAAAGAAGGGAACATGAAGTTCCTTCCCCTAACCACCCACATGCCCAAGTAGTATATTTAAAACACGTTTCTCGAAGGGATTATTAAGAAAACAAACCTAAGTTATGTAATGGGTCAGGAGGCAGATGAAGTGGATGTCATATCTTAGTTCATACAGCAACCTTCCAACAGGAGCTGAGAGTATAACATTACAGCATGGTATGACAAAGGCATTTCTAGGAAGGGCTAGAGTTAATATGGTGATAGCATTTATCGATATTTGTATTGATATTAAACTTGATACATTGTGTTCTGGAGAATGCCATTTTAAATAATGTTGCTTCATGGTTTTTTCCCTCCCTAATAAGGACACTGTAATTTATCCAGCTGTGTTCTTGGGAAGCACTATTAAAAGATATAGTTAATAGAGCGAGAGATACAGATCACTACTTAATGTTGTGGAAAATATATTAGAGAAGAAAAAACCTATTTCCTTCCCTGCTTATAATTTAATAGTTTTCTATCCTCCTATATTTTTATTTACATTCACTTTCAGTTTCGAAAATGTCCAACACATCCATGTACAATTTGAAATTTAGTTTAATTTTGAAGGTTTATTTATAATGGCTACTTGCCAAAAGCTGTTTCTGGGGTTTGTATGGAAAAGAAGCAACTACTACAGATCAAGCTTAGCTCTTGTGATGGAAAGCATATTTCAGGGTTTTTTTTCTTTAGTTTATGTGTATTCAAGAAGAACCTATAAGGAAGTTGAGATTTAAATTACCCATAAGTAAGAAGAGCTTAACCACAGTAATTGCTTTCTTGGGGAGGTAGTAGACTG